CTAGTAAAGTATTATCAATATAAATGCATGAACATTTGATTTTATTAGCAAGGATGGATTCTAAGATTTCTTGTGTCAAGTTAAAAGATGCATTGGTATCAACGTAAAGTACTGTGCATAGAGTTTTTCCATGTGCTCCATGCTTCACCGTGGTCAGAAGACTGGGGGTGCTGTATATTCTGTGTAGAGTTATTGATATATAGCATTACAAGGGCGGTATACAGCATTTAAGCTGGATGTGGCGACCTTTTAGCTTTCAATGTAGACCACAATGCATAGGAAAATCAATTTAACATACATTAATGCAAAACATATGAAGAGAAGGCTTAATAATGTCTACTTAATAGACATGCTGCAATGGCATCTTAGTAAGTATACACTTATAAGACACAGCACCTGGCCAGACTATAGACTTTATGTGCTATTGTACATCTGCAGTGAACAAACAACCTTTACTGCATAAGTTCATTTTTTAAATCTGAACAGCAGAATATCTTTGTACATGCTATCCACACTCATACAGGGTGTTAAAGTAGAACTGTGGCCAGGCTACAGACAATTAAATATTTTAGAGACCAACGCCAACAAACTCAAAATTCTCCCTTGCAGTGAGGCTGTACCTGCACTGTAAGGGCTAACTGCTTATTTGTGTCTACAGCACGGGTGTCCAACTGGCGTCCCTCCAGCTGTTGCCAAACTACAAGTGCCATGAGGCATTGCAAGTTTGACAGTTACAAGCATGATTCCCAAAGGCAGAGGCAGGATGGTTTCGCAGTTTCGCAACAGCTGGAGGGCCGCCAGTTTGAAACCACTGGTCTAGGGGGCCATGGAAAAGTAGATTCACTTACCCAATCCTCCGCGCTGCTAGACGGTCCCCACAGCCAGTGCAGAGACAGGGTCATCCAGTATCCAGGGCGAAAATGTCCAAAACTGCACCACTTCCTCCCCCGGTATATTGCAAATTAGTCCGTGTCTGTTCAAGACAAGAATATATTTAAAACATTATACAATAAATTTGGTTTAATTATTTCAATACAGAATTCACTCACACATGTTATCAGTATTTTAGTAGTTCCAGCGTTCCCACTGTTCTACTTGTGTGTATGTATAATACATTGTAAAATGTCATTCCTGCTGTATTTTTTACTGCACGGCACACTGAAGAGAAAGCAGGAGTAAAAAAATAATCCCAACTGTTGCAGTAATAGTAACTCCCAATATTGCCGTCAGTGGATGAAATAATGAGGAAAACCACAGATGGGCGCCAGACTAAGTGCAGTTTTAAAAACACCTTGATTTATTAAAATCATATTGAGTGAGATGCCCATGGTCATACTTTTAATAAATCAAAGTGTTTTTTAATATTGCACTTAGTCTGGTGCCTCTCTGTGTTCCTGCTTCACTCCTAAGGGTGCTGCCGCCGATGCTGTGTTTCGTCACCTGCTTGATACTATCGTATTAATATGGGCATTTTGCTGGACTCTTATGATAGATTCAATAGATTTTTGTGATTCCTAATAAACCATATCTCTTCAGAGTCATTTTTTCTGTTTTCCCAGTAAATTAAATAACTCCCAATCACTGGTGTAAGTAGCAGTAACAACCCCCCCAAGCACGCATTTTTGTGCCAGTTTGCGTGATAATAACCCCCTGCATTGGTACCAATTTCCACAATAATATTCCCCAACTTTGGCGCCAGTCTCTGCAGTAATAACCCCCAGCATTATATCCAGTTTCCACAGCAATAACCCCAGCATTGGTGCCAGTTTATGGGATATTAACCGCCAGAATTGGTGCAAGTTTCAGCGATACCACCCGGCATTGGTGCCAATTTCCGCAGTAATAACCATCAGCACTGGTACCAGTTTCTGCACTATTAACCCACAGCATTGGTGCCAGTTTACACAATAAAAAACCCCAGCATTGGTACCAATTTATACAATAATAACCCCCAGGATTGACGTCAGTAATTGCAAGAACAACCACCAGCATCGGTGCCAGTTTCCTCAATAATAACCCCCAGCATTGGTGTCAGATTCCACAATAACTACCCCCAGCATTGGTGCCAGTTTCCTCAATAATCCATTGATGTCAATTCCAATAACCCCCAGCATTGCCAGTTTCCTCAATAATAACCCCCGGCATTGGTGCCAGATTCCACAATAACTACCCCTAACATTGGTACGAGTTTCTGCAATAATAACCCCCAGCATTGGTGGCAGTTTCCACAAAAACTACCCCCAGCATTGGTACAAGTTTCTGCAATAATAACCCCCCAGCACTGATGGCAGTTTCCACAATAACTACCCTGAGCATTGGTGCCAGTTTCTGCAATAATACCCCCCATCATTGGTGCCAGATTCCACAATAACTACCCAGAGCATTGGTGCCAGTTTCCACAATAACTACCCCTGAGCATTAGTGCCAGTTTCTGCAATAACCACCCCCAGAATTGGTGTCAGTTTCCACAATAATAACCCCCCCCCCCCCCCCGTATTGGTGCCAGTTTCCGCAAAACCCCCCAGCATTAGTGCCAGTTTTTGCAATAATATTGCCCAGCAATGCTGCCAGTTTACACAAGCAAAACTGCCAGAATTGGCATCAGAAACTGTATTAATAATTCCCACTATTGGTGCCAGTTTTTATGCAAGAACTACCTCCAGCACTGGTACCAGTTTCTGCAATAACCCCCAGTATTGCTGCCAGTTTACACAAAACAAACCAGCACTGGTGTCAGTAACTGCAGTAATAATCACCAGTAAAGTGTTCCCGGATGTGAGCAGATATGTGGCCTAGAGACCAGCAGCCATATTCATCCCAATAAAGACAGAGTGAAAAGGAAAAGGAAATACATTACTAGCTAGAGGGAGGGAACACAGGATGGAAGAAAGAAAAAGATGATGCAATAGCCAAAATATCCACAAGATGGCAGTATATTGACTAATTATACTGAAGCTAATAAACAATGGCTTAAAGCGGAGCTCCACCCAAAAGGGGAAGTTCCACTTTAAGGACTGCTCCCCCCGCTCCCCATTAAGGATTGGCACCTTTGAGGGGCAGGGGAAGCGGGTACCCGAATTTGACAGGTACCTGCTCCCACTTCCGTTCCGATCGCCTAGGGGAAGGTGTCTTTTGGGACACGTGACAGGTCCCAGAAGACTACAGGACCATTAATGAAGCGCAGTGCTACTCAAGCATGCACAGTGGGTACCCGGCTGTGAAGCCACAGGCTATCACAGCCAGGTGCCCACACTGAAGATGCCGGCCTCCTGGAATCAAGGATGGACAGTGAAACGGACTGCGAGGGACACACCATGGGACCGAGGGACAGGTAAGTAGCGTTTTTTTTAAGTCAGCAGCTACAGTTTTGGTAGCTGCTGACTTTTATTTTTTGACAGGTGAGTGGAACTCCACTTTAAAGGGTTACTAAACCCACAACAGTACAATCAGTCTGTATATGCAGTAAAGTATGCTTGTTATACTCACTGTGGAACCTAAGGGGTTAATCCTCTGCATTGTGCAAAAAGGCTGTTTGATCCTGACTTCTCTGCCCCTCCTCTTGTTCACATGCCCACAGTGATAAGACAGACTGAACCATGCCCTTCTGCACATGCTCAGTTTAGTGTGTATTGCTAGAGAGATTTTTTTTTTTTCTTGGGAGAGTGCATGTGATCAGAACAGGGCCAATCAGCACTGTCCAGACAGAGGTCAGGGAATTTCCATCCTCCTAGAGAAAACTCCTCCTACAAGCTTTAACCAGTGCTCAGCTGAAATCACAAGACTGCTCTAACTGCTGATAGAAAAAGGTATTTGGCAGTTTATATTTACTGAAATAATTGCACTTTTATGTTCTGTGTACTGTGGGAGACCAGATATAGTGAATGCAGGGTCCTGGGTTGGGCAGGCGGGTCACCTCCAACCTACCAGATCCCGTGCACAGCCTGCGACGCGCACTGATGCCCTCCTGCCTGGCATAGCCTTCGCCACTTCCCGCTCCGAGTTACGGCTCAGTCACCAGCCTCAGAATGTATGAGAGAGAGATATCACTGCTGCCAGGGGGTAGCGTGCCTCCCCCCCCCCCCCGGAAAATGCCGTCAAAAGCAAACGCCTCATGGTAAATACGCCCCTCGGTGGCAGTGCAGGAATTATTATCCAGTTATTGGTGTCAGCGGGAGAAATAGTACCCCAATGGCCAGATAAAGATATGCAAAAGGCTACATTGAGGCACCGGGCTGCAGCTTGGAGACCGCTGCCCCAGACATAAGCTATTAACCCTTGCGGTGTGGGCACAGGACACTGCCTGGGATCACTGATTTTCCTGAAGATGGGCTTTTCTGTTTTTTGTCTCCCTTAGCTTATAAGCAGTAAAAACCTGACAAGTGTTCTAATCCTTCTCCTCTCTATTCAGAACTTTTAAAAAAGTTCTGCCTTTAGTTATACTTTTTAAAAAAATATATATATATATATAAAAAAAAAAAAATGAATAATGAGCATATAGAGCCACGTGACCTGTCTGTGTGCTCCAGGCTGATTCCCAAGTCTCTGGATGACTCATGTCCTAGCTCTGCTCTCTGCTGCCACCTAATGCCCCATGTGCTCATTGCTCTGCTCCCTCCTCTACTGCTCAGATAGCCATTTGCGGTGGCTGCATGCATCCATGCCTATTAGATTAGCTCCCCTATTAGGGGAGGGAGGAATGCATTGATGAAAGGTGAGGATTTTGTGGCTGGCGCCCGGATCTGATGAAGGAGAAGCATTAGTGAGCAGACACAGAGCAGTGTGCTGGGCTCTGACCTGTCTATAGACTGCACACAGCAGCAGAAGGATCTCCTGATCTCCCCATCCTGGCCCTCTCCAGGGTGCTGAACCATCTCCTTGACCTCCTGTAGTGTCTCCACCCTGAGAACATGGAAATCTAGGAGGGGGGAGATCCATCATCCCTGTCCCTCTGTCTCCTGTCCAGACCACCCCTGGGAAGACTGGAAGAGGCTGCATTCATCATGGCGACCTGGAAGGATTCATCCTACTGGAGTCTATGGCTACTACTTCCATTATTCGGTATGTAATTCATTCCAGGCCAGCGCTTCTGCATTCTGACCATGTCATTCTAGAACAATGGAGGGGAGGTAGGCAGTGCTTCATTACCCATGCACAAAGCAGTGCAGCAGCAGATCAGATCCTTGCAATGGAGAGTGGCACCTATTCCTCCTCTACGGCATGGAACTGACCTGTATACATCAATATATGGGGGGGGGGGGGGAAGAGTCATTAATACTACAGAGCTGCACAAAGTCCAATGGGAGTGCCAAACACTTCATATATAAGCGTTTGGACCCATCATTGCACTTTGTGCCCATACATCTTGCAATCTGGTCACCCTGCTTTCATTGGCAGCAGCTTTATCAGTCAATGTGTCTTATGACAATCTGATCGATCTACTGAAGATTTTAATCCAGTGCTTTGTTTTTTGGGTTTTCTTTTTTACTTGTTCCATTTAGCCTAGGTTAACATGTTGTGTGCACGTTTATGTTCACACATCATGGGTACAGCAGACAATTCATTTGAATGGGCTTCTGCAACCCTGAAAAACAAGTTCTGGAACCATAGGGTGCTGCCACGTGCAATAATACACAACACGGAACCATAAGGTGCTGCCGAGCGCAAAAAATGCACTGCACGGAACCACATGGTGCTGCTGTGCGAAAAATGCACTGCACGGAACCACACGGTGCTGCCACGTGCAAAAAAATGCACTGCACGGAACCACACGGTGCTGCCACGTGCAAAAAATGCACTGCACGGAACCACACGGTGCTGCCACGTGCAAAAATGCACTGCACGGAACCACACGGTGCTGCGACGTGCAAAAATGCACTGCACGGAACCACACGGTGCTGCCATGTGTCAAAATGCACTGCACGGAACCACGCGGTGCTGCCACGTGCAAAAATGCACCACGCGGTGCTGCCGCGTGCAAAAATGCACCGCACGGAACCACAAGGTGCTGCCGCGTGCAATAATGTACCGCACGGAACCCCACGGTGCTGCCGCGTGCAAAAATGCACCGCACGGAACCACGCAGTGCTGCCACGTGCAAAAATGCTCCACATGGAACACGGTGCTGCTGCACCCAAAGATGCACCGCATGGAACCACATGGTGCTGCTGCACGCAAAAATGCACCGCACGGAACAACACGGTGCTGCTGCATGCAAAAATGCACCGCACAGAACCATACTATGCTACTGCACCCAAAAATGCACCGCATGGAACCACACTATGCTACCGCACCCAAAAACGCACCGCATGGAACCACACGATGCTACCGCGCCCAAAAATGCACCACATGGAACCACACGATGCTACCGCACCCAAAAATGCACCGCATGGAACCACACGATGCTGCCGCACCCAGAAATGCACTGCAGGGAACCACATGGTGCTACGGCACACAAAAGTGCACCACGCGGAACCACAAGGTGCTGCTGCACACAAAAATATGCCGCACAGAACCACATGGTGCTACCGCATGCAAAAATGTGCCGCATGGAACCACATGGTGCTGCCGCACGCAAAAATGCACCGCACAGAACCACATGGTGCTGCCGCACACAAAAGTGCACTGCACAGAACCACATGGTGCTGCCGCACACAAAAATGCACCGCACAGAACCACATGATGCTGCCGCACACAAAAATGCACCACACAGAACCACATGGTGCTGCCGCACACAAAAGTGCACCGCACAGAACCACATGGTGCTGCCGCACACAAAAATGCACCGCACAGAACCACATGATGCTGCCGCACACAAAAATGCACCACACAGAACCACATGGTGCTGCTGCATGCAAAAATGCACCACACTTTCTGATGCATGGGGGGGGGGGGGGGGGGGGCATGTCTGCTAAAGAGCAGCAGGTTTTTCCTGAAGGTCAGGAATTTGTGTGATTCTGCATGTGTTCCTGACCCGCACATATGTGAACCTAGGCTAATACTGTTGAAGCAGTCCGACTTTACAGTGATCTGTGGATCAACCCCCTGCTGGTAATTGCCAGCTTTCAATCCATGTATTGAACAAGTCACACAGACATAGCAGCACAGCTATGGTACTCTCCCTCATCCAGTCCCTCGTCTTTATTAGACCAGAACCCACAGTAGACATAGGATCCAATGATATACTGCCTTTATTTCCTTTGCATGCAGTTATGTCTGGCTTTATTGAAAACAATTCTAATCTATATTGGTTAGCAACAATGTAAAAGAGCAGAACAGCCATAATTAGAAGTCCCAGGGGAACTGTGTGCAGCCTGCAGACCGTTACAGGTCTCGGCTTACAGATTCGAAAATGTCTGTGTGTGTCATTACATATATCACCCAGGTTCTGTTCCCTCATCTTCCTGGGTCGCAGATGTGTGTAGTCCTCAGGTGGGTGACCCAAAAATATTCAGAAAACCCTCTGAACCAGGATTTCTACTAAATGTAGAACAGAACATTTTTCTGATGCTGGGCATTTTTTCCATAGAAACATGATCCGTGAGTCAAGAGTGGGCACAGGCCCAAAGTGGCTAGATTTCAACTATGGCATATGCTGGAAGGGCTAGTGTAGCCACCTATGAGCCTGCCAGGGATCACATCTGTCAGAATGGCTTCTGCAGTTTCCTTTTTTTTTTTATTAAAACAGTCACAGGGTTCTACTACGCCTACCGCACTGAGCTGTGTTCTAGCAATGTATTGGCTAAGCACACTTACAACCATAGCAGGACCTATAAACAACCCAATACCAAAAAAGTGGGGACGTTGTGTAAAATCTACATAAAAACAGAATGCAATGATTTACAAATATCAAACATTTTATTCACAATAGAAAATAGAAAAAAACACATCAAATGTTTAGCCCTTTCGCTGCCAGAGCCAGTTTTGCATTTTTTTGCACAAGTTTAAAAAATCATTTTAGGCCTGAAGATTACCTAAAACCCCAAAAACATTATATATATTTTCTGAAAGCAGACACCCTAGAGAATAAAATAGAGGTAGTTCCAATTTTTTATGTCACACAATATTACCACAAAGGTCCTGGAAACCCAAAATCTTAGTAAAAAACACACTAAAGTTGTTTTAGGGCACACAAACGCAATATGCCCAATTTTTGGTAAAGTATAAAAGACGAGGTGGCACCGAGTAAATAGATATCCAACATGTCAAACCTTACATTTGCATGCGCCTGTGAAATGGCGACTTACTTGAATGCCCTATATTTTCCATAGGCGATACCTTAAAAGCATTACGGAGGAGGTCTGGTGTTACATACACTACTAGCTACTGCGCGTGCGGCAATATGTAACATGTGTATCGCAATCGACATTTTCATGCATGAGTATGTGTATATATGTGGGGGTGTGGGGGGCCTCAATTTTTTTTTTTTTGGGGGGGGGATTTTATGTTCTCGGGTGTAACTTTAAATTTGTTACAATTAAAAATATTTTTATTTTTCATCACATAGGGGACAAAAAGTCCCCTATGTGATAATTTTTTGGTGGCAGGTTCTCTTTAATAAGACATCCGGGATATAAAAGATCCTAGATTGTAAGCTCGAAAGAGCAGGGCCCTTGATCCCCTCATGTTTTGTATTGTTATTGTTCTGTCCCCCATTGTAATGTACAGCGCTGAGCGAACTATTGGCGCTTTATAAATACTGTATAATAATAATAATAATAATGTCTGCCTTGTGCTTCACTGAATGAAATGCATTACATTTTTTCCCGGACGTGCTGGCTGGGGTCACTGACAGGGGGGTCCCAGAAGTGACATTTTACATATCGTTTTCGGGTCAGCAACAAGAAGAGGGTGTATCCACTCTGTTCCCTCCCCCCTACCCAGCAGTACACGCTATGCCAGTCCCAGGCCCACAGATCAGCAAGTCGAGCCCGGGAGCAATCGGGCAGAAGCACAGCCACTGCCAGGCTGCTTCCATGTAACAGGCAGAAGTTGGCCTTGTCAGATGTACACACAATTCTGATTGCTGCAGCCAGCGGGAGTGTGTGTACAACCCTCTGCTGTCAGGTCTGTACTTTTTACAAACCTAGCAGCGAATGAGTTAAACTGAGAAAATGTACCATTTTAAGAAAAAATAAGGCAATTTTGAAATTGATGGCAGCAACATGTCTCAAAAATGTTGGGACAGAACAACAACAAGCTGGCAAGGAAAAGCTGGAGGAACATTTTGCAATTAGATTGATTGGCAACAGATCAGTAACATGATTGAGTATAAAGAGAGCATCTTAGAGAGTCAGATGGGCAGAGGTTCACCAATCTGTGAAAAGCTGCGTCAAACAATTGTTGGACAATGTCAGAATAATTGTAAAATTGCAGACTAAATATATCATCGTGTATAGTACATAATAATATCGAAAGATTCAGAGAATCTGGAGAAATCCGTGCACAAGGAACAAGGCCAAAATGCAATAATATGTACATTTTACACAACTTTATGGAATTTGGCTGTATAAAGTATACTGTGTGTACAGCATACACTAATTGTTCCTTTGAATTCCAGGACCTTTTATAAATCAATCTATCATAATCTACCATATACTGCATAGGAATTGAAAATAGAATTGCTATAGCAAATGACAAAAACATGACACCAAGAAGAACTCTAAACTAAACGATTCAATGGTCCATAATCTGCTATACGGGGGGCAGTGACAATATCTGAAAATAATTTAGATTACTTTGCTTGCTTTCCTGGAGAGTTTTGCAGACCAGCAACTCCCAGATTCCTGACAGATTTAGTGTTTTTGTTAACGTATGCCTGTGTCAGGATTTCGGACAGCAGCTCAGTGAAAACAAAGCAAACCTAATGGGTTTTTGAGTTTAAAGAAGCTTCATCATTAGAATTTTTATTTTACAGTTCTGTCCCTTATAAGACAGAACATGTAGTGCTTTGTCCCATATTTCTAACCCTAGTCAAGATGTCCAACCTGCCCCCTCCTACCGTGGCTGATCCGACAACAGCTATGAAGGAGACAGCCGATTCATAGCTGCAGCTCATCTGA